TGGAATGAAAACTGACCTTTTCCAGTCCTGTGGCCACTGCTGAGTTTTCCAAATTTGCTGGCATATTGAGTGCAGCACTTTCACAGCATCATCTTTCAGGATTTGAAATAGCTCAACTGGAATTTCATCACATCCACTAGCTTTGTTCCTAGTGATGCTTTCTAAGGCCCACTTGACTTCACATTCCAGGATGTCTGGCTCTAGGTGAGTGATCACACCATTGTGATTATCTGGGTCATGAAGATTGTTTTTGTACAGTTCTGTGTATTCTTGCCACTTCTTCTTAATATCTTCTGCTTCTGTTAGGTCCATAGAATTTCTGTCCTTTATTGAGCCCATCTTTGCATGAAATGTTCCCTTGATATCTCTAATTTTCTTGAAGAGATCTCTAGTCTTTCCCATCCTATTTTCCTCTATTTCTTTGTATTGATCACTGAGGAAGTCTGTCTTATTTCTCCATGCTAGTCTTTCAAACTCTGCATTCAAATGGGTATATCTTTCCTTTTCTCCTTTGCCTTTCACTTTCTTCTTTTCACAGGTATTTGTAACACTTCCTCAGACAGCCATTTTGCCTTTTTGCATTTCTTTTTCTTGGGGATGATCTTGATACTTGCCTCATGTACATTATCACAAACCTCCATCCATAGTTCTTTAGGCACTATGTATATCAGATCTAATTCCTTGAATATATTTGTCACTTCCACTGTATAATCTTAAGGGATTTGATCTAGGTCATCCTGAATGGTCTAATGGTTTTCCATACTTTCTTCAATTTAGATCTGAATTTGGGAATAAGGAGTTCACGATTTGATCCACAGTCAACTCCCATTCTTGTTTTTGCTAACTGTCTAGAGCTTCTCCATCTTTGCCTGCAAAGAATACAATCGAAATGATTTCGGTGTTGACCATCTGGTGATGTCCATATGTAGAGTCTTCTCTTGTGTTGTTGGGAAAGGGTGTTTGCTTTGACCACTGCATTCTCTTTGTAAAACTCTGTTAGCTGGTGCCCTGCTTCATTTTGTACTCCAAAGCCAAATTTGCCTGTTACTCCAGGTATCTCTTGACTTCCTACTTTTGTATTCCAGTCTCCTGTGATGAAAAGGACATCTTTTTTGAGTGTTAGTT